ATCATATAGCACAAAAGTCCATACACCCCTCATCATGCCATTCTAGTTCACCTAGGTCAATTCTAAGCATCAATATAATTATCGTGATACGACAAACCCGGTATGCCGTGCTAATCCCTCACCAGTTCTGATCGTTCAAACACCGGTTTAACCTTCCCGTACTAAAACGTCAATTTCAGGAACGAACCCCGAATTAAAATCCGAGACCGTCCTAATATCCCCTGCAGTATCCCCGTCAATATTAGTTCTAGGCTCCAGGTCAAATTCTCGATAAAAACACATCAAACCCTGGCTGGAGCTAAGTTCAGCGGTTCGGACCCCGGCCTAAATAATAGCCGAAATTCAGGGATTAGAACTAGAGGATTGATTACCTCGCTACAGGAAGCTCGTATATGAAATTTGGGCTCAATCCGGCTTCCGGATACTCCGAAACCCTAATTTGGCTTATTTGGAATTCAAGAAATTCCTGAACCAAAAACTCGTTTTAAAGCTCTAAATCGATAAATCACGATGAATAGATGAATTAGGCATTACTTACGGGATTTTTGGATCACTAGGGCTCAAGATTCTAGCTTGGGAATTTATCCCCCGACGTTCCCTGTGCGCGGCTCTGGTTTTGCTTCTCTCGGTAGAAAGTGAAAAGAAGAAGTGGAATGGTTTCTGGAAAATTGAGACGGGGAGGGAATTTTATGTCCCGATATATATATATATATATATATATGGCAAAGGCTAGCGTACACCTGACGTACGTTATACACCTGCGTTCACATCTATTAATTAATTACTATATAATTTAATTAATTTTTAATGATAATTCCAATTACAACCACACTCATTAATTAATTATTGTTTACTCTTTAGTCCCACAATGATTCTTACCGTTCTTTATGTTAAAGCTAAGGGGACTTCTTCCCACCACGTTCACAATGAAACTCTAACTAGCCTGCAAAACCCAAATCACTAACCTGCACCATGGAAATGAAATCAAATACAACCAAACACAACAGTGCATTTTGACGCAACTGTTCTATTCCACATTTAATCAAAGCTCAGTCTTAATTGTTTTCCTAATGAAGAAACTTCATCTGAATATTATTAATTAGCGCTATGGCTTAAATCAACCACTAGTTCGATCATTCGTGATAATAGAGGCGGTTGATACCCAACTAATATAATCATTCTTCGCTACTTTACAATGGGCAAGTTTGTGGCCACCATGTATGTTATCTTCTCTAAGGACATGAAGCCAATCTCCGAATCAGTCCCCCTTTAGCTTCGTAGATCATTATACACACCATTCCCACTTCCGTGTAATTCATAGTTTTAGACTGTTTTTTTTTTTTGCAATCTGATTCTATCACATACGGTCTCATTTGTAGTTCCGCCATCTTTTTCACCGCAAAAAAGTACAACTCTGCCTTTAGCTACTTCGGGTGCCCAACTTTCCTCTTCTCTTTTGGCTGCTACAAACTTGAATCCCTCCCCCGAGTTGCGTACGACTATCCCCAACCATGTTCCTTCGATAACTAGATATCCCACACTAGTATTCACTTTAATTACACCCATGACCCATCTGTGGTAGACTCCAAATGGGAGTCTGCTTGTCGTAGTTACTCGTATTCCCTGTTCCATCTCTAATATTTCTATACTCCAATATGAAGTTATGAGACCTCAAAGCTACCTCTTATTCTTCAAAGTTACCTCAAAGTTATTCTCTGCCGCTACCAAATTTCCAACCAAGTTGTCGCACCATTAAAAGAAAATCCCTCTCTTGCACTATTCTCCCTCATATCACCGGCAGGAATCCGACGCGAAGGAATATGAATTCCAACTTCTAGATTGAGCTCTTTAGAAACTACTCCTCTTGAAATCCACCGATAAGGAGACTATACAGTGAACGACAGTGAAAGGAAACGGGATTTAGATGCATGTCGCATTAATTGGGTCGCCGTCATCTACCCGACCATTGTCGAGAGAGAGCTGCGCTCGGCAACGATTCCGCCGTCGAGAAGATTGAAGCATTAGAGAAATTGAGAACACTAATCCGTTTATTGCAAGACTGGAATACATATCTTCGGATCTTTCTTTTCCATTTTTATTCCATGGTGTTGTAAGTGGGTAAGAGGGACATTGGGTGATCCAATTTGCGGAAGCTGAGTTTAGAAATTAGGAAGTTTTATTGTAATTAGTATGTGTTTGTCGGCCATAGTATAAAAAATAAAGGATCTTATTGTAATTATAGTTTTTATTAATAATTAAATTAATCATAATTAATATTAATTAATGAGTGTGAACAGAGGTGTATAGCGTGCGTCAGGCGTACGCTAGCTGAACCATATATATATATATATAATTAATACGTATACTTATCCGATCGATCGATAATCCGATTTTCGTCGAAATACTATCAAAACGCTCGATTTTAAATCGCGAACTTTCTAGCGATCGAAAAATGGATTTTGCCGGAACGAGATGTTACAAGAAGATTGATTTCATCACTCCCCCTCTTCTAGTTTGTATTTTCCTTTCTCTCCTTATGACTTGAATCCCTAATGATTGTTTACAATAGATGAACCCTAGATTGTAGTAGGTATGTGAATGTGTTTATCTATGGGTATGTTGTTCTAGTGAATTTATGCCTCATGTGTAGGTAGTTATGCTTGGGTAAGTCGCCCTAATCTTCTCTACTAGCCTACTTGAGCTACTACGTTGGGTATGGAGTTTTAGGGTTAAACATGTATGCGCGCCATTTGACAAACTAGTGATAGTGAGTTATCTTAAGGCTTTTAGATGGACGAGGTGACCGGACCCCTGCCTCTATAGTGCCTTCCTAGAACAATGCTTTGGAAGGTTCTCCCTAGTAGTGTGTGATAGGTTGAACCTATTTAAAGGAACTATGAGAGCATCCCTAGTGAAGAAACTTAGATCGAGGTGACATTATCTCTTTATGGATAATGCTAGGAGGAGGGAGAATTCTCGTGGGAGAAATCCCCAGATTAGAGAGTTTTGCATCCTATCCTTTAAACGCAACTTACCAACTATAGCTAGGGGAATTCGATTCTAGGCAACCGTCTTATCTCTTTAGGAGTAACTTATGGTTCTCTTGGAATACGACCAAACCACTTTACTACAACTCTTACTAGGTTATACTTGGCTTAGTTAGAATTGAATAGAGAGTGTACATCGAGCCATAAATTTAAATCTCGATCACGCAAATCGCGATCAGTCATGGTCACGATGTCGAAAGCCGTTTGCTTGGGAAAGTGTTGATTGTTTATTTCCTTGGGTGGTTCCCATGTTTTGTGCAGCTGCTGATGGGGTATTTGCATCGCAACTTGTTGTTTCTTTTCTTTTGTTTTAACTTTACTCTCTTTGTAATCCTTAATTTATTTCACCATTAAAAAATCAAGAATTCGGGAGTACATTTACAATTTATATCCCAGTCCAGTCCAAATTTTGCTATGACGCTCACACGGTGAGATGAGCACCTAGGAAAGTGTCTAGCTCGGATTGAAGATCGGAAATGTCTAGCTCGGATTGTAACAGATACTGTTGACACTGCTCTCCTTCAACTGCTACCATAACCATCTTTTGCATCTTGGGCTTGCACGGGTTTATGAGATTCGAGGGTTAGATTGAAATGGTGAATTGATGATTGGTTGGCCCTGGGTGAAATCTTGCTACTCTTATTGTGTTAAGCATGAGACTTTGAAATCTTTGAAATTTTCTCAACTGACCCATTGTTTCACATCCTTCTGTTTTTATCTCTGCACTTCTTGGGTTTGCTTTTATACGTTATGTTTTCTCTTCCACCCCGAATTTAATGACTTTATGTGTCTTTTGAAGTTTCTTGTATAACTGTTGAATTTGTGAGAATAATGGGTCGTGGAGTTAGCAGTGGTGGAGGGCAGGGCAGGGGTACCTCTTTGGAAGTGGCGGGGCTCCAAAACCAGCCCCTAATACTAACAGAGTGTAACATCCCAAGTACAGCTGGCTTTGGAGTGACGTGGATAGTAATACCCAAGTATAAATAGCAGAGGACCCGAAAGGAAAAGACTTATGATTTCTGAACTTCTATTCGTCGCCCTAAGTTTTCAAATAAATCGCCCTAAATTTATTGAATGGACAATTCTACCCCCAACTTAAAAAAACCTAACCTAATTTTACCCTCACCCCACAGCCTCCCTCCCAGTCCCAGGCCCAGCAGCCCGCCCCCTTCCTTCGCAGGCGCCGCAGCCGCTCTTCCCTCTCCCCCCGCCGAGCCATCTCCCTGCAAATCCGCCGCCGCCGAGAGGACCAGGAACGCCGCCGTTGAAGACCAGCAACGCCGCCGCCCTTCCAGCAACCACGCCTTCCTCTGCTCGCTGCTCGCCATTGTCGTCGTCTCCGGGAGAAGGTGAGTCGCCCTGTCTGATGGATCTTTCCACTTTTTTTTTATTTTCGTGGATGTCAACGGGGCGGGTGGAAAACCTGCTGCCGGCGGGCAAAAGACAGGTCGAAGACCTGTCTTTTGCCCGCCGGCAGCAGGTTTTCCACCCGCCCCGTCGCCGTAAATAGCAGGGAGATGGAATGGCCGGATCTGGGGTGATGCGGGCAGGTAATCCGCCTGCATCGGGCGGTGGCTGGGTCGCCAACCCGCCCCGACCCGGTCCAGTCGGGTTTCCGGCCCGCCCGGCCCGGTTCGGTCTGGTTTTCCAACCGGTCTGGTTCTGTTCTGCCCAAATTTTTTTTAAATTTAAATGCATAGGTTCTTGATTTGTTGATTTTAATTAATAATAATTGTGAATGATTATTTATGCGACATATATTAGAATGTGAATTTTGATAAACTTGATTTGAATTGTTAATTATAATTAGCATGATGTTTTGTTATTTTGACAATATTAGTAGTATTCAATTGATAAAGTTTATGATTGTTAATGATTATTAGGAATAGTTAAAAAGTTTAGGATGATTAATAATAATTCTGAAAAAATTTATTTTCTTGATAGTTGGTAAAAATGAACGAAAGAAAGGGAAAGTCGAGGGTTGTTGGACGCAATGTTACTCGATCTGAGCGGAGAAAACGTCAGGAGGAGAAGGATAGAGCTCTTGAGTTGGAGCGTCAGGAGAAGCTTGCTCGTCAAGCTGTAGTTGATCATGCCCCCTCTAGCCATGATTCTCGACAGATGCGAGTCATCAACACATATGATGACTTGGTAGAGGATGCCACGAGCAGTGATGATGAGGGTGATGAGGGTGATGAGGGTGATGAGGAGGGTGATGAGGAGGGTGATTTGTTGCCGTTTCCTGATGCTTTTTACCAGGGTCATCTTGTAGGTTCGAGCGATCACGTGTCTACTGGCTCGACCCATGTTAGTACTCGGGTTGGGCCGCTGCGTGGTAAGGATGGGCGTTTTGCTTCATCATCTAGTGGGAGCGTCCCTTCACGGAAGAAGTTGGTGGATCAGACATGGCTGCTAACAGGAGCAGGTCCTGGGGGTCCGAGTGACCACAGTTTGATCCCTAGTTTCGGTGGTCACATAAGCCATCGTTTGTGGACTTTGGGTTTGGATTTTCGAGTGATGTCTGAGTATCAGTTCTACACTCGGCAGGGTGGAGTGGATCGACTGAGGTTGTACAAGTTCTCGACTCCACGTGTAGAGAACTTGGTTAGGGCATCTAATTTGTACCACTTGAGTAGTTGCATGATGCATAGTGTGGATTACCCTCTCTTGGAGGCGTTTATTGAGAGGTGGTAGCCGGATACCAACACGTTTCACATGCCGTTCGGGGAGATGACGATCACTCTTCACGATGTTTCATTCCTGCTCCAAATTCCAGTGGATGGAGAGTTACTTGCTGCACCAGCTAAGGGTGATCCGTCGTTCGTGAGTGGGATTGTTGATCTTCTTGGGATTCCAGATAAGAATGCAGTGGCAGCGCGTGCCATCCGTTGGTATGACGGTGGTGGGATGTTGGTAGATGAGGCCATGACACGTCTACATGCTAGGGAGGATGGGGATGCTGAGGCACGATGCTATTTAATGTGTTTGATAGGGTCCACGCTTTTTGTGGATAAGAGTTCTGATCGTGTTCGTGGATGGTTGTACTCTTACTTCAGAGATTTGCAGATGGTTAGTAAGTATGCATGGGGTGCTGGTGCGCTTGCCTGGATGTATAGACAGCTTGGGAGATCTAGTCGAGCAGGATCTAAAGGATTTTCTGGGTGCTTGACCTTGTTACAGGCTTGGATCTATGAGTATTTTCCATCGTTGCGCATTAACAGAGCTGCACCACAGGCCGTGACACAGGGAGACCCATTGGCTAGGAGGTGGGAGGGTCCCGTTCATGGAGGGGGGCCTAGTGAGGTTCCACGACGGTTGGATCATTATCGTCGACTGTTGGATGGCTTTATAGCGGACCACGTGGACTGGCTTCCTTTTGGTGCCCACCCTGGCCGTGCGGTACCTAGATCTTTGTATCGGGGGGTGATACGTATCTATGACGTGACTGAGGCCTACGATCCCTCACGCACTCTCCGTCAGTTTGGGTATAGACAGGTGATCCCTGATCCTCCTATTCGACCAGCTCGTGTCAGTCGACCTGCTGTAGGGACCTATAAGGTCGTTTTTGGGGCCGACCTCGATCAGCTTTGGAGGTCTCGTGGTCAGCTGATCAATTTGGATGCCTACTCTACACCTTTTGACGACACAGGATCCGTTGACCCAGAGTACCTTAAGTGGTACACTGTGCGCACTCACCCGTGCATTGTCCCCCCCAGAGATGGTGAGCAGCAGGAGGTTGCGTTGTTGACCTATGAGATGGTTAGTTTCTATGTTTCCCCTATTGGTAAATTTTATTTCTAACATTTTATACTACTGTGTTATGATATACTAACACTAAATTTTATTTCTTGGACTTTGCAGCTAGCATGTCAGATTATTGATGGTATTGATCCTTTGCTTCGTGCTTCTGATGAGGATCTTGACAGGTTGGGTCCTTATGGTGACATGATTCGACGAGTTCGTGACAAGTACATCGCTTTTCGCCAGCAGAGACCGTACCGTCCACTTACCTTGTAGTTGTTATATGTTGAACATTGTTGTTTGATGTTTGGATGTTTGATGTTTGGATGTTGGAACTCTAGTTTGTTTAGGTTTAGGTGTTGGATGTTGGATGTTTGATGTCCGGATGTTGGATGTTTGCTATTTTTATATTTGGATGTTGGATGTTTCATATTTGAGGTTTGGATGTTAGATCTTTGATATTTGTGTTTTTTAGTAAATTTGCACATGTTACTTGATTCATTTAACCTAAAATAAATCAAAGCACACACTAAAATAATAATAATAATAAAACACAATCTAAGGAAACAACACTTAATCATCCTCTTCATCATCGTTTGGATAATGTCCTCCGAGAATGGCATACAATGCCTGCTCTTGCTCGTATAACAAGTCCCAATCAGGAATTGATGTCATATCCCGAAAATGAGACCACTGTGGTGAAAAAGGAGGCATTGGTGACACTCCATCGACATCGTCGACTATGAGTCGCACCCAATGTGCCCCAGTAAAGACCAGTGCCATAACATCACTTGGTTGAGTAATCCCCTCCGGCGCCGTCATAGGTAAGGCGGTGTACCCATACGTGTGTCGCCCTCCATACAATCCATAGACGACAATTGCCCAATTGTACATGGTTGCAAATACCAGTAGATCCGCCTCCTCGAACCAATACTCTTGGGTGCATCTCCCAGCAATCCGACAATCCAATCTGTGAACTACTGCCTCCAACGATCCATCTCTAGAAAGATAAACTCCCTCGTAGAGACCCCAATGGTTTCTAACTCTGTGATGATATCTTGTCTCATTTGTAGGTAGTGCCCTTCGTCTCCATGAATCGCATGTGACATGGCCCGAAAACCACATTGCCCGTCTGGTTCGGGTCAAACCAACCTCTAACAAGAGGGTGGATGCTGGGTGGGACATAGCGAAGATAGGGGCAAACATTTCTCTCATTGTGAACTTGCATATGCTGACTTTTTCGTGCACCTACAACAAATGGAAAAAATAACTAATATAAATGGTCACATATTGGAAACCTTACAAATGAGGTAAGATATCATCACAAAAAATTTTAAATGATGCTAACCTGCAGGGGTTTTGCTCCTAGGTGTCCTCGGGCTCTGATTTGTTTTGCTCCTCTTTTCTGCCCTTGCCCTCTCATGCTCAAACGAAGAAGGATCTCGGGCGTTGGTCCTCTTAGGTGGTCGTCCCCTTTGAGCCTCTGACTCCCTAGGCTCTTGTAGGCCTTCAACTTGAGGATGAATATGGGGTCGTAGTATCTGAGTTGCCTTCCGAATAGCAGCTGGCCCTTGTTTGTACACATCCTCCACCATTGCTGTAAAAATGTTACGCTCAATGGCATCATGGTCTTCCCATTCGGCACGATCGGGAGGACTCTCATACACCAAAGATGACCAGAATCGATGCAAGTGGTAGGGATACAACTCTACGCCGGCAACACTATATTCATCCATCTTACATTTACATGGTAGACCATGTGTCTCAGGTAGCCGACATCCACATCGCCGAACGATTTCCCTCTCTCGTTCTTCCATCATCAACTCAATCGCCCACAAGCTTACTTCCTTATTCAAGTTTCCATATGGCGGTCCATAGGCTAATGCAAATACCTTTCCGAATCATGAATTTCTAAGTCAAAATCAAATTGAGGATATAGGGAAGTACTAATTTAAATAAGCAAAAAAATGAAAATACCTTGGAAAGTGATGCCTCTAAGTCCTTCTTCAATTCAATCACTCTTCCCTCGACGCATGTATGAAATCTGAGGAAGAGTGTATCGATCTTGTGGGTCGAAGTGGCAAGCCATTTCTTCAAAGAGGAATGCATTGACTCTACCCTATTTGTGCTTGTGTTACCAATATGGAAGACACGATTGGTGTAGCAATGAGCCCACCTTTCCGCGCATGGTATCCACTCACTTCTGAGGTAGTCCATCAACTTTTCGTTTTTACCCCAATGACCATTTTGCAAGTCTCGCCAACACCGTTGGAACCCTGCCTCGGTATTGGCATTCAAGACTCTCCCCCATGGACCTTCTATAAACCACTCGGCAGAATCACGACTGATCCTAAAAGACAACATTTTAGCTTCAATGTTCCTCTTCATGTGCCACACACATAGTAAATGAGCTGAAGATGGAAAGATCTGTCGCAATGAGACACCCAAACCTCCCTCCTTATCGGTAACAAACGCATCCGGTGTTCGATCACCAAGCATATGCTTCAATTGCATCAAAACCCAAGCATATGTCTCCTTCGTCTCATCCGACACCAATGCAAACCCAATATTGAAGTTCTTCTTCACCGGACTAACACCAATCAACTGAACTAGTGGCTGCTTATACTTGTTAGTCTTGTAAGTTGAGTCTATCAAAATGACGAAATACCATGCGCTCAACATCCGAATAGACTCTGGATGGCAAAGGAAGAGTCTAGAAACACGACGCTCATCATCAAACTCGCACTGAACAAAGTAATCGAGACGTTGAGCTTCTATCAATGTCCACCGCATAGGTTTCATGCCACCCAATCTCTCACGCCTAATCTTTTCTGTCTCGTTATAAATCTGCTTCATATGGTGATGAGCATCGTACTTCCTATTCAAAAAACTCCGAATATCTCTTGCCTGAGTATGTGTTGCCTCCAACTCCTTAATATCTATTCTTCTCTCTTTCGAAAGAGAATTCCTTTGCCTACTTCCTTCAGAATAAACCTCCAATTTGTGATTGTGAAATCCTCTCGACTTACCCGGATTATCTTTGTCCTTAACACCAAAAATTCTCCACTCACACTTGCCATCTACCAATGAACAACGCACTACCACGCGGAAACGACAATCAGACTTACTTGTTTTAGATTTGCTCCGTGTTGTTTTTGCCAAATCAGGAGTATATGACTTGTTCCTATAGCCATGGCTGCAATCCATATAGTACCGCGGATATTTTTCTGATGAGTGATTTTGCTTGACTGATCCCACAATCAAGGAAAACCTATTTCTCATGGCAATCTCCCTTGCAGCCGCACAAGCATCATCATGGGTATCATAAACAACATCGTTTATGAAAAATGATGTGTAATCAACATTGTCACCCTTATCATTTCCAAAACCTCCCTACAAAAAATACACAGTATAAATATTTACGTTAGTCTTGAAACAATTATGTTGCAATAATTTAACTATTAAACAACAAAGAAATAAGGTATTTACCGAATCACTCATTTTAAACTTGTTATTTGATGATGATAAAGAAAGAGGCTTCTACACTTTGTCCTCCCTCCTACAAGCACACCAAAAAAACAAATTTTAATGAACATATAATATATTTCAAGTGAATTTCATCAAAATTTGTCTAACAATTCACAAAAATCCATCTAAAAATCACAAAAACCGGCCCCAAGCATGTGCAAAACATGACTCGACCATCGATAAGGCAGAAATCAAAAATGACTCGCCAATGGTTCAAACGTGCTGCGCAGGTGCCTCTACCGGTGCGCGGGCATGTTCTTTTCAGGATTAAACCGTGTGTCAAGCGGGTTGTCTACCCGCCTCGTCCATGGAAGGACATGAGGTCAAAAGGATATGACGGCGGGACGGGCAGGTCAATGACAAGTCTGTCCATTAGCGCGGACATGTTGTCTACCCGCTTGTCCACTGACGCGGGCGTGCTGTTTACCCGCCTGTCTTATGGATTAAGCATGTGAATTACATGCTCAGCGAGAGGAACGGACAAGTTGTCTACCCGTTTCCTCCATGGAGAGACATGTTTTCAACCTGCCTCTCCGACGGCGTGCACACAATTTCAACCTATTTGTTCTCGTAAAACCAGAAAAAAAAAAAAAAAAAGAATGCAGCATACCTTTGGTCGACTACTTCACTGCCGAGTGTGCCTTTGGCTCCGATGGTCTAGCCGAATTCAAATTAAACTCACCAATAAAGAAGAGAGTAGTTGAGAATTGTTGTGGTGTGGGATTTGATTAGTTTTTTGTTTGAAGTTTCCACTCTTTGTAGCTCTTTGTCTCTACAAAGAGTGGAAAAGTGTAGGACCATTATGTCCTACTACAATATATGGGTTTTAAACCCTAAAACCCACCCAAGGGCATTTTGGTCATTTTTCATATGTTAGGGCGATAAATTTAAATAATTAGGGCGACAAATAGGAACTCTCTATGATTTTACCCAATAAACAATTTTTAACTACTTTACTCTTTCAGTTTAGTTAGCTAGGATTCCATAACTCTTTCCCTTCTCCTGTATCTTCTTCTTCGTTCCATTCCTTCTCCAGATTCTTCAATAAAGATCCTTACAAGTGGTATTCAGAGCCTGTAATCTGGCAATGGCTATCAACACCACACGAATCCTTAATTTGGAAACTAAAATGGCGGCCATCAAGCAACAGATGGACTCACGGCACCAGGATCTGAAGGCCGTCATTGCTACTCTTGCGGCTTCGACGAAGGCCTCCATCGATGCTCTTGTTGATTCGTTGGAGCAATGGCGGGACGATTCTATGGTTCGTTCTCCATGGCACGCACCTCTTGATCAGTTCGCCAATCCACAGCAGTTTAGTCCGCCACCGCATCGGTCGTTGATTTTGGATCCTCATGTGTGGGTTCCTTCTTCCACCGTCTCCGGGCAACCTGCCTCGATCGCCGACCACCAGGTTCCTTCTCCAACCTTCAATTGGGTTTCTCTCCTGTCTACACCAACACCGAAATCCCTATTTCCTTCTGCTGCTTCTTCTCTGGGAGTTCAAGCCCCAATTTTTTCTTCTCAAGAACCACCGCCGATTGCATTGCCTTCTTCTATTTTGCTGTCTTCTGCTTTCCTGTCTACAATTTCTTCTCCTGGTGGTAGTAGCAGCATAGTTGTAGGAGGAGGTGGCGGTGGAGGAGCCGAGGGAGGGATTGGAGATAGGGGAGTTGTTGTGGTTAGAGAGTTGCATCGAAATGGAGGCGGGCATGGGGATTCAGAGGCCACAGATTCTCCTTCTACCGCTAGTGGTAGTAGCAGCATAGTCACACCTCCTGTTAAGAAACCAGAACTGCCTATGCCTTATCTGGGCTTCTTATGGGAAGTTCCTGAGTCCATATTGACAAGATTTGAGCCTAAGAAGGAGTCAAAAAGAGCTATGGCAGTTAGGAGGATGAAGGAGGAGTTCAAGATGCAACAGAAAGAAGAGCTGGCCAGAATGAGAGAGGAAAAGGAAATGATGGAGAAAGCAATAGAAGTTCAACCAAAAGAAGAAGAAGATACAGAGGGAAAGCCCCTTACTTTTGTCAAGGAAGCTTTCGTTTTTGGTGATCCTTGTCCTACTGCGGTTGCTTTTGGGTTCTTTCGTTGCCCTATCGGCTATCGAGTCCAGCAATGCCAATTGGGGTTACGAGTTTCGCATTTTCCCAACTTACTATGGCATCTTTCGGCATTTCCATGGAAGTAGGAACTTTGTTGATTTCAAAGGCCCTTATAAGGATTGTGCTTATCGAACAATCGCTTGTATGTTTCGACCTTGGGATGTCACTGTAAATTCGCTGAAGGTCTTACATTCTGGTGCTGTAATATGTCTGTGTTACTCGTGGGTTTATCCTAAGTGGAGCAGCCTTGTTCTTAGCTTGGAAGGCTCCTACACAGCTTGGCTTCACGAAGCATTGATGTTCAAGCAGTTTCTGGGTTTGATTCAAAGCTTGGCGAATTCTGGTTTGGTAAGCTGTATGTGTTACTCTTGGGTTTGTAAGAGGAGAGGCTCTGTTCGTAGCTGGGAAGGACCCTACACAGTTTGGCTTCACGGGCATTGGTGGTCAAGCAGCTTTTGGGCTTGATTAAGAGCCTAGCAAAAGATTCTGAACAGGATGAGTGTCGTTGTGTATGGATCATTGAGGGAACTGAAGTTTGCCAGACCAAGGAGGCCATTCTTGCACTGTTTAGAAGTCTGGTTGACCTTAAGCTGCTGGCAAAATTTGGATCCGAATTTACACCGTCTCTAGCTGATGAAGAGATCACAGTCAAACAGATTCATGCGGTTGTGTTGTTGTACAACTACTATCACAGGAGACAGCATCCAAAACTGAACTTTATGAATATCGAGAGTTTCTGCAAGTTGGCTGTGATACTGAGTCCTAATCTTCTACCGTTCATGAAGCTTACACAGAGCTCTAATGATACCGTGTTGGATTATCTACAAACCCAGCTTTCTTTGACTGAGCATTACTTGTCCTTGCTACTAATTGGAAGAGAATTCTTGTGGGTACACATCAGACGCACGAAGAAGCTACTTGGGCAGGGTTACAGACCTACCTGCTGCACTTTCCATCCTTTCCATCTTAGGGCGGTCAACTTGAGGACAAGCTGTTCTTGAAGAGAGCGGGTTTTGTAACATCCCAAGTACAGCTGGCTTTGGAGTGACGTGGATAGTAATACCCAAGTATAAATAGCAGAGGACCCGAAAGGAAAAGACTTATGATTTTACCCAATAAACAATCTGTAACTACTTTACTATTTCTGTTTAGTTAGCTAGGATTCCAGAACTCTATCCCTTCTCCTGTATCTTCTTCTTCGTTCCATTACACAGAGCCTCTCAGGCCGGCTGCTGAACCCGCCCGAGCTGCAGATCGCGGTAGGAACTACTGTGTTTGAATAGAACCTGTGTAGGACCAACCATCGACTAAGGTACATGCAGCTCCTGGTGGTGGATCTTCTATGGGATCTCTCTTTGGGTGATGCCAAGAAGTGAGACATGCCTTTGAATTTTTTTTCTCTAATCCCTTAATGAGTGATGGGTGTAATTGTTGTAAGGACCATGCATACAGCTGATTATTTGGAAGTGTTCCCAACTCGAAAAACTGTAGGGTGTCTTGCGTATCAAGGCAACCAAATTCTCTTTACCTTATTTCCCGGCTTGATTCACATACTTCACCTGATTTACTTTAAACTCTGCCTATTAAACCATGGAATAAAGGCATGTTAGCCAAGTCTAGAAAAAGAGAAACGCGACACTGCAAGCGGCAGCATAATTTTGTACATTTGGATAGTACCTTAGAACTCAGCAGCCTCTCTCTTCCTAGATCACCTACTAACTAATCCGAACAAGATAAAGGGGTTTGGCCGGCAGACTCGGCCACCTATTGATAGTCAATCCCAACTGAAAGTTTCCAATCTAATAACCTCAATCACATACAAATTCTGCATTAGGAGCAAAGGGCAGAGACTGAAAGAAGGAACAGATTAGTGAAGGAAGCAGTCAGGCGTAGCATATCCCAGCAGCCAGGCACTCCCCAGTCATACGGTCGAATCTCTCTCTATCCTCACCCTGAAGTTGCCAATTTACAGTTCCAAGTGGTCCGTACCCGATGTAGTTAGAAAACAGTTGAATCTTTATCCGATCCTGAAAAATAGATTTTGCTTCAGCATTGCGCACCACTATCAACAGCTACTCCAAGCCAATCTGCAACCAATATCAAACAGCTGTGCAATGGAACCAAGACACAAGCTCGAAAACTTTAGAACTGTCTCTATTCTCTAACTCGATGGGCTAAACTCTGACTACGATAACAAGCTATGACAAGACTTGGCCTTGTGAGCATGTTGGGACTTTGCCTAATCAACCTTGCAACTCTTAGATGATTAAGCATCTTGTCTACACTAAATAAGTAAATATGTGGAGATAGGCACTAGATGAGACACTGGCAGCCTACTAATAAATCTGATGAGATTATGTGTGTTTGTTTCAATATAGCAGCACTTTAAGTGTTCGTATGTAGAATAACTGCATGGTCAACACTGAGATTCAAACCTTGGTTTAAGGAAAAGGCAGCTGGAGTAGTAGTAGCAGAAGTCTCCTTTGGAATATCAACAGCGGAGTTCGGTGTATCACTCATCATATCAGCATTCAAATTCCGAGTGACTGCTGGTTCTAGGTTTTCACTACTCTGCAGACCATCAAAATCCATGAGCACGAGTCTGTTGGTCAAATTTTGCATCAGAAGTTTAACAACAAGCATGCAACGACTCATTCCTTCAAGAGCTGCACACACATGCAAGCGTCTGACTGGAGACACCATCTTGTTCGAGGAAAGAATAGAAATTAACTTAAAACTCAGCAATTTCACCTCTTATCCTCTGGAGCTTGAAATTCTCCCTATACTAAACACTAACAAGAAACATGCACACCATTAATTCTCGATCTCTAACACGCACAGTTGGTCAGACCTATCAACTTCTGCATATATCAATGCAAGCTTTTGATCATACTCTATGAATGGAACAAATTAACACACGATACAAATATTCCACACCTCTTGGCATTGAGCGACATCTGAAGAAGCTAGACTTTTCTCACTAGCAGTGGCTGTAGCTTCCGCCCCAGGATCTTGCAATGTGGCCTCCTTGTGAATACCATCAGCTTCAAACCGATCAATTGCATCCTGGCTAGTGGTTCTAGATGCCTTTGATTTACTGACATGAGAACCATTCAACTCCACGCCACCACTTTCATCCGCTGATCTCTTCCTAGAATTGGCATACAACAAAGAATAAACATTGATAAAAGCAAATCAGTCACAATCATCAACAACTGACCGAGGAAAAAAAAAATATGAGCATGATGTTACCTGCTATCGTAAAGGTAACCTGCATGAGGAGATGGTTGTTTGTTGGAAAATAGGATCCCCCGCAAAGGTTTACCATCTATAATGGTTTCAATAGTATATCCATGTGGGAAGGTTTCGGTCACTTTGGCTTGGAAAGTTTTCTTTCCATGATGAATGTTGAATTGGACAGTCCCCATGGCTGCAAAAGGTTTCCTCAAACTTTTAGGGGCTTATGTTTCTTTTCCAGATGAGATTCAGACAAAAACTACCGGTTATGCATGGTTAGGATGTCAATGCCCAACAGACTGAAGCCCATCTCCTAACCATGCAGCAGAGATGTTTAACCACATTAAGCATTATCTTAACTAGCATGAAGCCCATCCCCTAAGCCTTATGCAACGAAGAAGATAAAGTTATTATCTTACACTACCACGAAATAGTTATCAACCACCTGATTCTAGACCAAATACATAATCAAGAATTGTAGTGCCCAAAGTAGAAACCAAACATCCTCAAAATGTTATCGCTTTACCCCTGCGTCAGTAAAACACAGTATTACCTAAAACCAATACCAAAAGAAAAAGTAACCTATGCCTACTTTTAAATGCCTAAGAGAAAAGAAACCCATATCAGCAAACAAAAGAGATGAAAACTAATTGGTCGGAGTGGAATACTGCAAAAATTGAACAATCATTGATAGAAGTGCTATGAAGGTGGCATGTACACTGTAAGCAAAGACATTCAGGATTTAGATAACAACATAAGTCCATCCTTCAAAACAGCAAAATCTAATATCCACCCATAAAATATTCAAATCAGGGGTCAATACAATAGGAAAGAGTCTATTTAAGGCTCTGATACATCCATGCAGGAAGAACTACAGCACATTCCTAACATATAGAAAGAGTAGACCAGTGGAAAATCCAACTGACCACTTGACAAAAATGGTAAAACAGTAAGTGAGGGTCCACAGCAATAGAAGAAACCTTCTATAGCTGTGAACAGACTATTCAACAAAGACACCTGATTGGCAAGCACGTCATGACACAGTTAAGTTTTAAAAAGTAACGTTCAATGCAAATAAGGTTGGTGTCAATAAAGGAAATCCAACATTTCTTCTGATGCATCCAATGCTGATAAAGAGGAGTGCTCTGGTAGACAGAATTGCAATCACAGTCATCTGACCAATACTGGCGCCTCAATGCACAGCTACATCCTAATAGTAAATTGAAAAATCCCTAGAGCACCAGCACATTTAGTATATGAATCTACTAAAGATGAATTTGAGCATATCATCACTGATACCACTCCCTGTACTTTATGTACTGAGTATGCCAGCCACAGCCATGTCTAACTTACAGACTACAGTAACTCAAAAGGAGAAGGGGTACTACCATGCACATCATAAGTTGGTATGCTACGGTGGAAACTAGCTGTTGGATCAACTCCGACCAGAGATCTATCTGGATTGAGACTTTGTTCATGGCATTTTAGTTTCAGTTGCTTCCGCAAGGATAACTTTTCTACTTGCCGCTCATCTTGCATGTTTGTCAGTCCTATGATTGGATGAATGAATGAGAAAACAAGAAAAAGAATGAGTGTCAATACTAGAGAAATAATTCATTCTGGAGATCCTAATAAAGAAACAAAATTAATTTGAAATATTGTGCTAGACAACAGAAGCAGTTCCAAGCAAAATAAATTGTTTGAAAGATAATGGACCTGTATGTAAGTAAAACATGTCATCCAGTGCCTCAAGATGCTTATTGCAACCGCCAATCAGGACAAGCATACCACCCTTCATAGGATCCAAACTGTCACCAGCTGCAGAAAATCTTGCACAAGGTCCATCACCTATAGCCATTACCTTTGTCCACATGCCAGACTCTGCATTAACAACAGCTCAATCACGATTAAATAAATAAAGAAAAAAAAAGCAGAAATGGGTATATCACAAGGCCAGCTCACATGTAAAACCTAAGCAACCAGATTAGATCATGGAGAATTGAACTTTCCGAAAAAAAGATTAGTTGAACCTTTGGCACAGTGTTCTTGAAAGTAAATGTATCTGCAAGTGAAAACCCAAGCACTAAAGCACTGCCTAACTTTTACATCTTTTTAGCTATCTGTATCTTGTGCCTACAATGTACTTGAACTTCCCAGCATAGTAAGTCTGATGTTGCTTTTTATCATCTGGCTAAGTCTTGAGTAAAGACCTCCAATATTGTAACTGCCTACTGTTACATAAAGCAGGACAACCTACTAATTCAGCGGCCATGCCCTAAATAATGCTTCCCCCTCCTCTGCCTAGGTCTTCTTTTTTTTTTTTTTTTTCTTTGGTCAGAAAATAAATCTTAATTTTAAGGGGCAACTGGGATGAGTTTGCCCCTCCTCTTTCCAGGCTTATTTTTCTTCCCGCGCGGGGGGGGGGGGGGGGGGGGGGGGGGGGAGATGGGGAAGGCAAAAGCTTTTTGCACAATATCATTTGACATACCAAGATCGAGCATGTATGTGTCATCGTATAGATTTTGAGAATCTGCAAATCCCCCAAAAACAAACAGGTTCTTGCCAAAAGCAATGGTGGAATGTCCCGCTCGAGGTGGCAGCTTCTGACCTGCAGTACTCAGCTCCTTCCAGACAAGGGTTTCTAAAAGGTAAAAGGAATATACATGTTAAGAAAGGAACAAATGAAGAAGTGCATCTTGAAGATAAAAGCTAGTCATTAAATGAGTTCACAGCTCTAGACACGGTTACTCATATATATATATATTACATTAGAACATAATAATCAAATCAACCTGTATCCAACATGTGCACATCAGATAAATAGTAATCATGCCCATCTTCACCACCAATGACGATGACATAGTTTCTCCATGATGAGCAAGTATGACTGTCTCGGGCAGAAGGTGGGGAGCCTGAAGTTGTTGCACGCTTCCACATAAACGTCTCTACAAAATCCAGGAACCAATTAACTTTTGTTAGATGTAACCCAAACCACGACCTAAAAGAATAGAAACAACGGAGCAATTAGCCATAAGGTGAAGCTGGGAGTGAAAGACATAAAGTAAACAAATTGCAGCCAAACTTCGAGACCCAAATGGATGAATAAGCATAAAACAAATATTATCAATTAGCTCTATAGAGACCAATTATCATCCAAGATAAAAGCCGAAATTTTTTGGAATGTAAGCCCCTGTATAAATGGTACCTGTATTCAATATGTACAGATCATCATAATATACTTCATTATTAGTTTCTGAAGACTGTCCACAACCACCGAATATGAAGATGCGTTTACCAACAAGAGCAGCACTATGCCCTTCCCGAGCCTCTGGTCCATCGCCTCTTGTAGTAGGAGATATCCATGTGTGTGTTGCTGAAATTTAATAGAAAACAGAAAGGGAAACTGTGACCAGATAAGTCAACCAAAAGTTTGCCATTATAAACAAGAAGTCGTAACAAATGTAAGGAAAAACTAATTTAACAGCAGCCGGTATAGATCATCTAATCGAGTGAAGCTTGCTAATTATTCCTATATCATACTGCATAAAATGCAACAAGTGGCTGTCGATACAAGAACACAATGCTGGACATAGAATCGGAATCCAAGTAAAAGATTGGGGAACAGAAAGTTCAACTTGAACCACTCACAAGTATCTAATATATGCAAATCCCTGAGTGGATTCATCCCATCAGTACCGCCAAATACATATAAATTATCTCCAACAGTTGTGCAAGTATGGCTGTCCCTCGGAATAGGTGGTGTACCCTTTACTGCAGGCCGACTCCAACTTTGAGTAGCTACACGTTTAGGACCCAAGATTAAAGCACAAGTAAACTTCAACCCAGTGAGGTAAGTGACAAAAGGCCACCAACTAGGGAACTCCGTTTTACTTATAGAGCAACAATAGATTCAAGAAGTCAAATCCATACAATAAAAAATAACTATGAGATATCAAAAGCAGAGGATAATTAGGAAGCAGAAATGTAATCATCACTCTTAAGCACAAACCCGGTCATAAATGCAACAAATTAGTACTAAACAAGGCACCAAACCAGACACTATAAGGCAGAGAAAAGTAACTAATAAAGGCGCTCAATAGTCATAACAAAATCACGAAACAGAAACTTATCAATCTCTTCGCCGAAATGACGACAAAAGCCACAGAGCAAAATTCAATGACACTGCACGAACAACACGCAAAATTAAGAACCCTAGCGAAAAACCACAACTCTGCAAAGGATCTGAAGCGAAAGTAAAAAAAGAGTGAACAGCACAACAAAAGGATTAGGGTTTTTCTTTTCTTCTTTTTCGCGCACCACGTCCATTCAAATTCACAACAGAACCCAAAACAAGACAAACCCTTCAAAAAGAAACCCAAAATCACAGAGAGTCGCAGCAATAGAGCAGAGGAATCAGAAGATATATAAAAAATAAAAAAGTTACAGAGAGAGTTACATAGAGGCGGAAAGCGAACCCACCAGTATCGAACACATGAACTTGGTTGGTGTGGCAATTCTCATTGCCATAGCCACCGAAAAGGTAGAGAAACCTCCCACCTCTGATGGAATTGCAGGTGTGGCCCCACCGTTTCCCGGGGACATTCAATCCGAGCTGCGGAATTACTCCCCCGCCAGAATGGTACTGGGCGGCCTGCTGCTGAAGCCTCTCCCACCTCATTTTCCCCTTATTATGTGGGGAAAGGAAGCCGCAAAAGGATCTGTTCAAAAGCGAGCGAGAGACAGATATCGGATATGGAATCGAATATATAACCTCGGAGCCTTCCGCCCGGTGGGTGACCACTGCGAGAGGCGCGGGGACACTGGTGGGAGGAGAAGACGAAAATAAAAGGTGTGTTTGTCCGTTCACAGTGTTCTCTTTGCATGCGAAGGAAACGGACGAAAACAAAATTTGAAGTAGGGATGGCAAAAGTATTCCTAGTTCCTACTCTTCTTCAATCTAATTTAATTGAATAGCGTAAAATTTGAATTTGAAGAATTTTTTATGGGTATGGATAAGACTCAAATCATAATATTGCAAGTCACTAATGGGGATAATTTTTTAACCATCAAACTCAATGTGCCTACGCTACTAAACCATCTATCTATATATATGGGTGGTTAACTAAAGGTATGACATACCTTAAATAAGAAAATTATATCTAGATCTTAATTAATCGGAGTTTGTCATCTGGTACTATTCCCAAACCCTTAAAGATTAAAATTTAGGTATTAATTATATAAATCTCACACATTAAGACCAGTTTAATTAGAAACAATAATTGACGGTCATGATTCGTCAAAATATATGCAACAAATTACACGCACAATCTTATGGGTGTGATTCAGGTCCAATTGTACACATTTTACCCAGTTTCCCTCAGATGTTTGAGGCAATTTCACTCCGCGAGTGATAACGTTGTAATTGCACATATTTGCGCCCCTAGTTCTTATCCGTTTGAGGGGCATAGTCGTGTATTTTTGGCCTATTTTACGCCGGGTTGTGCTATTTTGTCATATTTCAGGTCCCCAGGCGTCAAAGGAGAGGCTAAGCACGAGTTTCGGGGCATTCGGAAGTCATTCAGTGAAGCTGGAGCCAAAACACGGGCACACCTAAAACAGAACACGGCCGTGTTCTGTGGTCGTGCTTTTACTGCCGAGAGCTAATTGAGTTTGGCAAATTCAAGTTGCAAACACGGGCTGAAAGCACGGCCGTGGCCACCACAAGCACGGCCGTGTCCATCATCAAACACGCCCGTGTTTCTCCCAGCAGGTGGCCGTGTAATTAACCCTAGCCAAAGCACGGGCGGGCTGAAGCAAAGCACGACCGTGCCCTCGACCGTGCTTTGGCCACTAATGCCCTTTTAAGCAGATTTCAGCCAAAATAGAAGGGGATTCGAGTTTTGGAGAGAAAGAGCGATTCCTAGAGAGAGAAAGCGAGTAACAAGAGTCTCTAAGTGCCCTAGCTTGATCTTCATCACTATTGGAGGTCAGTTTGAGCTTGGAGAAGTGCCGATCAACGTCTAGGAGCAGGAATCCATCCTTCACAGTATGAATTCCACGTCTGATTTTGCTTTTGCTTCTTTCTCCATGGAGTAGTTCTCCCATTCATCTAGGTATGGAGAACCCTAGATTTGTATGTTAGGTTTGATTGTATGAACCCAAGTACTGATTCTATTATTTGATTATATTCAATTAAGGTTTGAATGATTGAATGGCATGAATCCTGATCAAATTCCTGTTGTTTCTGCTTTAACCTAGAATGAGAATATCTGCCTATGTTGATAGAGCATCCTTGATTGAAGGTAGGGAGTTGGTGACTTTAGTCGAGGAGCCAACTCACTATTCTGTACCGGATTCACTTCGGTAGTGGAGGTTTTGTTCATAGGGCCTCAATCTGTTTACTCCGGTGGAGGTTAGTCGCCCGCTAGAGACTCAGATTGAGAGGGTCTGAAGACCTTTAGTCGAGACTTCAGGCTGTTTAAGAACCTTCCGCAGTATAACTATCATAGAAACTGAACTTGGTAATTACAATCCGGCTTAACTATAGTCTAGGGGGAACCATATCCGGGTGACCTCTCTTAACCTGAATACAACCGTTTACTTGCTTTGTTAGTTTGTTAGTTTAGACTTGCATTAAAGTTTCATTGCTAGATGACAAGAATTCACTGAGTAGTCATCAGATCTAGGACCCGGGTTGACATTTAAACCCAAACCCGCTATACTACGCTTTAGGAAGTGGTTTCACTTGGCCAATTCCTAGGGTGACAGTAGAAGTGAGTGAAGTTTTTGGCACCGTTGCCGGGGACGGCTAGGTTGTTGAAGAAAAGTGATTTCTGTTAATTTAGCTTTTCTTTTCGCTTTGTTTGCTTTGTCCCACTTGTGCCTTCACGGGTTTGCAGGTAGTGCATGACCCGTAGCCAGTCGGGAGGTTTACTGCCGTTGAACCCAGAGATTGAACGCACTTGTCGCCAACTCAGGAGACAACAGCGAGCTAGACTGGCTACGGAAGAGCGCATAGACGGCCACCTGAGCAGCGATTCTGAGAAAGAGTACAGGATGGACGGAGAGTACAATCAACACCAGGGGAATCCTCAGCGGGCTCCCCCGGTGAATCAGGTCCTGGGGAACAACCCAATACCCCAGGATCATGGGGTTAATCATCATCCACCGCCGCCGGGTCCCACATTGGAGTACTACTACACTCCACGGATTGCTGACATCCGCCCGATCATCCTCTACCCGCCTATTCCAGCAAACAACTTCGAGATCAAGCCATGCTGGATTCAGCTCATTACATCTTCTATCCAGTTCCATGGCTTGAAGGATGAGGAGGCCAGGGTGCATCTTTCCCGTTTTCTACAGCTGACGAACGGGTTCAAGCTGAATGGTGTCCCTGATGATGCAATCCGCCTTCACCTTTTCCCTCATTCTCTGGCGGGGAATGCTAAGAGGTGGTTGGAGACCCAGCCCCCATTGTCCATCACCTCTTGGGACGATCTGGCTGACAAATTCGTGCACAGGTATTATCCAGCATCGAAGACTACAGAGATCCAGCGGGAGATCACTCACTTCCGCCAAGAGCCAGATGAGTCACTTCGTGATGCATGGGAGCAGTACATGGGATATTTCTGGTAGTGTCCCCATCATGGCTTCAGTGATGCATTCACAGTGGGGAACTTCTACAGTGCCCTCTCTCCAGACAGCCAGAGGGTGATTGAGTCTCTATGCCCAGAAGGGGATATTCTTACTAAGACTCCACCCGAGCTGAACTAGATGATCAATACCTTCGCTGCCAGAGATCATTCTTGGGGGCAGAGCAGCAGAGGCAGACATTCCCTGGACCGTGGTGTGCACGCCATGGAGACCAGATCCGGGCTCGAGCAGCAGGTAGCTGAGCTAGTGCAGACATTGAAGCAGCCCAATAGTCTTATTCCGGGCAGAAGCTTGGCTACACCTCCAGTAGCTCAATGTCAGTGGTGTGAGAGCTCAAATCACCTGGTGGAAGACTGCCAGGCTATGAGGGAGTCTACTACCCCCCAAGAGCAGTTGGACTTCATCGCCAATGCTAGGCGCCTCGACCCGTACAACAATACATATAATGAGGGGTGGCGCCAGCATCCCAACTTCTCTTGGGGCACAACACCACTAAGCCACCTAGCTTCCCAGCACCAGCAGGTGGCTTTCAGCAGAGGCAGCCCTTCTAGGCTCGACAGGGGCCAACCCCACAGCAGCAGCCCTACCAGCCTAGGCAGGGGCAACCATTCCAGCAGCCCCAACGCCAGTTTGCCGAGCCAGCAACAGCTCCTGCTCCAGATGACCGGATGACAAAGCTGGAAAATATTCTAGCTTCATTCATGACTAGCACTCAGGCAACTATCACGAGGTTGGACCAGAGCGTAGCCTCACTGGAGGCAGGTTAGAGGAACCAAGGTGCCATTTTTGCAAGATCTGCAGCACCAGGTGGGTATCTTGGCCCGCCAAAGCACTACCAGGGCACCGGGGACTCTGCCTGCCACCACTATTCCGAATCCTCGTGATCCTCACTAGCATCAGCAGCTGGATGCCATTTTTACCATGGGCGGTGAGACCATATCTGCTAATCCTGTCCCGGCCAGACAGGAGGAACCACTACCTGCTTCAGCACTTCCAGCCGACGATGCAGAAGTGCGGGTGGAGAAGGAAGCCCCAGCTCCCAAGCCACAACCAGTGGTTAAGGAGCATGTGCCCCGGCTTCCCTTCCCCACTCGCCTACACAAAGACAAGCTGGAGACTGAGTTTGCCAAGTTAATGGCAATGTTGAAGCAGCTCAACATCAGCATACCGTTCGTGGAGGCACTATCGAAATGCCCAAGTATGCCAAGTTCATGAAAGACCTCCTCACCGACAAGAAGAAACTTGGGGATCTTTCGACAGTGATGCTCAGTGAGTAGTGTTCTGCTATCCTGCAGAACAAGCTGCCCGAAAAGCGCAAGGATCCAGGGAGTTTTACTATCCCTCTTACTATTGGCAGCATGCATGTAGGCAAGTCCTTGGCGGACCTAGGCGCTAGCATAAATGTCATGCCATATAAGTTGTATAAAAAGCTAGACCTAGGTGAACTTAGCCTTACTAGGATGAGCATTCAGCTAGCTGATCATTCCATTGTGCATCCTAGGGGAATCATAGAGGATCTGCTTGTCAATGTCGGTGCATTCACATATCCTGTTGATTTTGTTATTCTTGATATACATGAGGATGTGGATGTGCCTTTGATTCTAGGTAGACCATTTCTTGCCACCGCCAAGGCACTTATTGATGTGCATGATGGTAAACTGATCTTGCGTGCTGGGACTGAACATGCTACTTTTTCTGTGACTGAATTCGATCACTGTGCTATGATTGCTGTCACACCTGTGCATGCCATTTCTGATCAGGTACACGAGCCTTTCGTGTATCCTTCTGCACCTCTTATTTTGCAGGACCCTCCTATCATTCCTTCGCCGCCACTCCATCCAGCCTCGCCTCCGAACAAAAAGCTCAAGGAGGAGTGGCGGCCGAAGCCGCAGGTGGCTAAGCCTGCACGGAAGAAGAGTGGAGACCACTATGAGCTGGTCCCACCCCCTGCACCACGACCACCCTGGCCGTCCGGGTACTCACTCGCCTGCATCTTGCCAGATGGCCAGGTCGAGCTGACCGATG